GTGGGGGGGGGGCCCCCCCCCCCCCCCGGGGGGGGGGCGGGCGGTGATTTCTTGCTTTCTGTCTCTGTCTGTCTGGCGAGCGCACGTGCCCTATGGCAAAAACCTCTCCAAAAAAAAAAAAGAAAGAAAGAAATTCAAGTAGTCTGTGTGAAATCTGAGACATGCCCTTAAAGGAGACATACCTTTCTTCTTCCAGTGTTTCTTTCCTTGCAAGTTGGAATACAGAAATGCTGCCTGGAGCAGGAGCTGCCATGCAAGATTACGAGGTAAGTTAGGAATGAGCCAGGCTTTCAGTCAGAGTGAGAAGAAAAAAGGATCAAGATTAAAGGAACCTGGTTTTGACACCATGGGCCATCACTCCCGTAGCCTTGGATTGTTGAAAAGACTTTGACAGAGGCCAAAAATTAATTTATATATATTTTATTTAAATGCATTATTCTGAAGTTTCTTTCACTAACAGCCAAATCTAACTCCAACAATATCAAAGATATTGGAACATTTCAGATGAATTTATCTGTCTGAGAACTACTCTCTCCTCTTCAGAACTCAGAGAAAATGACATGTCTCATAGCAAAACCTCAGGAAATTTCCACCTCGTACAGCCAGCTGAGCTCATAAACTTCAGAATTTCATTTCCACTACATATTTCATTTAAATCTAACTCTCCCCGTGTAAACAATCCAGAGCTCGAAAGATCAACCAATGCCCACACAAACTAAATGTAATTAACATATGAAGTCATGCTTTGCATCAAAATGAGATTTAAAGCAGGCTTTTCCGAGAACTCTTAGCAGAACTTAGACATACATTGGATTATAATAAAAATCAATTAGTAAATTGAGTACATTTGATAAAAGATCTATTAAATGGGGAAAAAAATCTATGATCTTGAGACCCTAGAGCCATTACAGTAGCATCCCTTCTTGGCAACATGAGAGTGAGCTCACCGAGTCTGTCAGCTGTGCACTCGCTCGTTTAACAAATATTTATTGAATACAGTTTATGTGCCAGACACTGTATTAGACATTGATGGACAAGGCAGCCAAAGTTATGCTCACATTGATTTCATATCCTATGAGGAGACATAAATGCTAAAGGAATAGACAAGAAAGAAAAGGTAAGGTAAACTCAGTACTAATCATGACTGAGAAGAAATGGTTTTTGAAAAGCTGTATTGTAAGAGACTGTCTTTGAGAGAGGCTGGTTTAAGTTAGATACAGGGAAGACTATTTAACAAAAGTAGTATTTGAAATGAGAACTGAATTATGAGAAGTTTCTAGACATAGCAGTCTGGGTGAAGAGAAAACATCTATACAAAAATCTCTAAAATATGAGCAAGTGGGACATTTTAAGGAACATACATAGGTCAGTTGTGAAAAGTCAGAGGGATGGAGAGAGAGAAGGGGAGAAAGGAGAGAGCTGAGTTTGCAGAGGTGAGCAGGACCACTTCAGGTAACTATTCATCGTGATCAGTGGTGGGTTAACCCAGCTCATAAAGACTCACAATTATAGCGTTCAAAAATTTAGGAGCATATTGATAAGCAGAACTATTATTAAACACTGAATTATGGGGACCAACAGATGGCATAATGGTTATGTCTCTGGTCCCACATAGTCCACCATGGTTTGAGTCCCAGACCCGGAGGCTTACAACTCATGCTGGATACATGTGCATGCGTGCCCAAAATCCTGAGATGAGGATGAAAGAGAAGGGATTGTGATCTGGCTATCCCCCCCGGGGCGGGGGCGGGGGTGATTTCTCATTTTCCATCTCTCTGTCTCTCTCTGTCTTTCCAGAGAGTGCATACACCCTATAGCAAAAATAAATAAATAAATAAATAAATAAACCTCTCTAAAAAAATAAAACAAACAAAAAACCCTAAATTATGTAACTATGTAATTAAAGAAATTATATTCAAAACAGAGATAATACATACTGAAAAATAAATTAGTTCCTGTTATTTTAGTACATTATTACTACTGTCTAGGCTCTTGTGGTTATTTTATGTCCCTTGCACTTGTATGATATAAATACTACATAATATGTTGCTGCATATCTCTCCCAAATTTTGTGTTCAGTGACATGATACTGGTATCTTGAAGCCAGTCACAATGTAAATATTAATTCTTTGGCAATTAGCAAACTACAAATCAGGGTCCTTAGTTGCAGAGGGGTGGGGCGGGCAGGTTGCTGCACACTTTCCACCAGCCCACTGGCTCTAACTCTGGTCGCAAAGCCACAAGTATAGTTGGGTTGTAGCCAGATGCTTCAGAGGGCAGGACAATAGTGCCATTCAGGAATTGAAGACACTTAGAGGCAGAGCAAGCTCAGCCACTAGTTAATAGAGCAAGAGACAGCAAATCCAAGCAGAGCAGACTAATGGCTGGTCTAAAGAAAAATCCAAGATCAAAGCAAGAAAAGGGCATGGGAGTAAGGACTGATACTCAGTTGGCCAACCCAAGGACCTCTTCCTAAAAGCTTCCTCTGACTCATTGCCCTAGTTAAATGGTTACCCGCTTTGGCTCATAAAGCACCTTGAAAATTCCTCTATAACCTCACAACTGCTTTGTGGTTTTCTTTTCACTCTTCTCTCTCCTCTCCTACATGAAGAGCTCTCAGTTCAGAGATTCAATCTTAGCTTTTCTCAATTCCCAAGATGAATCATGGTGCCTAAAGCATACCAATGTTCAATTATTAAAAGTTTACCAGAAACATAGAAAAACATGGGGACCAAGCAGATAGTGTAATGGTTACATTGCTGGACTCCTATGTAGTCTACCACAGTTCAAATCCCAGATCCGGAGGCTTGAAACTCACGCCAGGTGCATGTGCATGTAAGGCCAAAGTCCAGAGAGGAGAATGGAGGAGAGGGGATTGTTGCATGTTCTTCCCCGGGTGGGAGGGTGACTTCTTGTTTTCTCTCTCTCTGTCTCTCCAGTGATTGCACATGCCCTATAGCAAAAATCTCTCTAAAAGAGAAAGAAAAAGAAAAATATGCACAAAGCTGTTCAGGACATTAATTTGAAAGTGTGCAGAGAACTGAATGATTTAATTACAGTTATTCACAAAAATAAATGCAGTCACAAAATTTTTAAAACCATAAAAAGTATGATTTCTTTTTTAGAGGTGTTTTGACTTAGGGGTGTGTGTGCTCACCAAAGAGAGATGGAGACAGTGAGAGGAAAAGTGAGAAATTACCCCACAACGGGCATGGCCACTCTGCAGTCTTGTTTCCATTCTTCTCCTGGAATCTTGGACACGCACACACACGTGCCTGGTGTGGACTTCAAACCACTGGGTCCAGGACTCAAACAGTAGTGGATGACATGGGAGTCTGGAGAGTAACTTCTACACCATCTGCTGGCCCTAAAAATGTATGATTTCTTAAAATGCACACAATTAAACTTGTTACTAATAAAAGATATAAAACCTTGCATTCATCCCTATTCTTGAAGATCCAAAGGTATGTTTATGAGCTTTTTTCTCCAGCCTAATGATTGAGAATATCTCTGTGGAACTGGGAGTCACAGGAATTTTACGTTAAAGGAGGAGAACCTATACCTTTTAGGTGTTCCATTCATAAAAACAAATCTATGTTTTAAAGAATTATTTATTTCATTACATTTACAGTTTTTTAAATTTTTTCTCAGAGAGATAAAGAGAGAGAAAGGGAAAACAAGAAATCAAGCCATCAGGTCCAGGATTCGAACTGTAGTCAGTCACATAGGAATCCAGCACCTTTAACCACCTGCTGGCCCCAAAACCAAATTTTCTATTTGTATTTTACATTTTGATTAGTAGAGTATTTTCGCATCCATCATCTGTAAGATACAGATTGTTACTTCCATGTTAAATAGGAGAAATAATCTCTGATTATGTGATTTACCCAAGTCACACAGGCCATCTAAGTCCCAGTTCCATGTTCTTTTTACTTTATCATTCATTCATTTAATGTGTGCTTACTTTCTACTCACAGGAACCAGAGGCAGATTCATCACAGAGCTAACAAACCTTATGCCTTAAGGCAGCAAGACTACTGGCGATACCCTGGAAAGGGATTTATCTGGTTCTCCATGATCATTTATTTTTGTAAAACTTGTCAAAGCAAAATAAACCACAATTAGGTAAGACTGCTGCTATGGTTTGAATGTCCCTTCCAAAAAAAAATTAAAACCTCATGTTGAAAATGTAACTGACATTGTGACAGTATTAATAGGTGAGGTCTTTAAGAGGTATTTAGGTCATGAGGGCTCTGTCCTCACAATGAATTAGCACCATTATCTTAGGAATGGATTGCTTATCACAGCACAGTCATTTAAACTTGATCCAATCTCTTTGCACTTTACAAAGTTAAACAGCTAAAAGAGATAAAATAAAAAGGCAATGCTTGTAGAATGTGTAGTGCGTATTGGCAGTATATGCCTCATTACGGTTCGCCTGCTTGCTTTTCCTCTTCAGTTATTTCTTGGAAAGGCAGTGTGTTCTTCTCTTGAGTTTCTATCTTCTTTGACATTAAATTTCTCCATCTCAGCCATGGTTGCAGAGGAGGCAGAACCTAACACGCTAGCGAGTGCTGTCTGGCCTGTGCAGTGGCCATGGCCAAGTTGACATACTCATTTTTCTGCCTAATTTTATATATAAAATTCTGTGTTCCTTTCCTTAAATAGACCCTCAATATAAGCCTCAGGCTTCCAAAATTGGGGTCTACCCCTGCACAGAAACTATGCAAATAGGACAGGAGAGGTCCCTGCTCATACCCAGCTTAAAGCTGATGAGAGGGCAGTGAGACCAGAAATGGCAGAAAGGTGGCTATAATGGATTGAGTATACTGTGTCCCCATGAAAAATTCATGCTGTGGTGCCAGCAGGTGGCAGGGTGGTTAATGCACTAGACTCTCACATGGCTGACTGTAGTTCAAGTCCTGGACCTGGTGGCTTGCTTTCCCTCTTTCTCTTTCTCTCTCTCTCTGTCTCTTTCGCAAAAAAAAAAAAAAAAAAGAAAGAAAGAAAGAAAGAAAGAAAGAAAGAAAGAAAGAAAGAAAGAAAGAAAGAAAGAAAAAATGATAACAAATAAAATTAAATAATTATTTTATAAAAAAAACCCACCTCATTCTGTGATTTGACCCCCAGTGCAGCTTGTGTTGGGAGGTGAGGTCTAGTGGGAAGTGTTTGGGAGGTGGGGAAGTGGGTTCCTCATGAGTCAATTCAAGCCGTCTTCCAGGAAAGAATTTTCCCTGATTAGTTCTCATGACAGTGAGTTATTACAGAATAAGCTCACGGGTCTTTTTGCGTGCCAGTTGGTCTCTCTGCTCTCCTGCTTTTTGCTATGGAGCAAGGCAGCATATGGCCCTCACCAGAGCTGAGCAGATGCTGGTGCCTTGCTTTTGTACTTTCCAGCCACCAGAATCATGAGCCAAAGAAATTTCATATTTTTATAAATCACCCGGTCTCAGGCATTCTGTTAAGACCACACTAACAGACTAAGACACTGGCCCTCTTGTAAAAAGGACTATTGTGTGAACTCTTCGGAAACAGAAATTGAAGTTTTTTTCAATTTTTGTATCCTAGGACCTAGCACATGCTTGGCATACAGTAGTTATCTGATAAATGTTTATGCAATATTATTTATCGAGCTCCCATCATGTAACAGGTCCTATTCTAGACACCAGAAGCCACTGGGAAATGAAATGGACACAGTCTCTCCCCTCCTGGAGTTTATGTTCTAGTTTCTGTAGAAGAAATGAGTGAACAAGACTGATGTGCTGAACCAGTTCATGATAAGCAATGCTAGGAAAGAGGTGTGAGATACACACAGTCTGCCCCTTCCAATCCCTTTCCTTTTTCTCTTTTTTTTTTTTTTAAAGAGAGAGGGATTTTTGCTATAGAGCATGTGTGCTCGCCAAAGAGACAGAGATAGAAAGAAAGAAATCACCCCCCTCCCCAGAGGGGATGACCACACTGCAGTCCCTTCCCCTCCATTCTCCTCTCAGGATTTTGTGCACAAACACACATGCGCCAAGCATGTGTTTCTTTTTTTCTTGGTTTGGTTCGTATTATTATTATTATTATTTATACATTCACTTGCTAGACATCATTTATATTGCAAAGACATTTTACCCAAGATGATATATGCCACAAACCAGGAGAGTTGAGAATACTTTACACAACATTATCAGCAGGCAACAAACCATATCTGTGCCCCACAAATGTCTTATTTCTTCATTTTTCCCAAGTTTCCCTTCCTGAACACACTCTTCCCCTCTCCCACTATCCTTCCACTTTGTCCCCAGTGTCCATAACAAATGTTAATGTTTTTATGTCCTTTAGGCTTTTGGTCTCTACCATAGAATGTAGACAGTCGGTATATGTTAAGTGGAGACATACAATGTTTCTGTTCCATAGCCTGACTTGCTTCACTCAGCAATAAATCTTTCAAGTTTGTACCTTTCTATCAAATGCCAGGGTCTTGCTGTTTTTTATGGCTGAATAGTTTTCCATGGAGTATATGTACCCAATATGAGTTTTAAGTCACCGGATCTAGGACTCAAATGGCGGGCAACTGCATGGGATATAACCCTTGCAACATCTTCTGGTCCCCTTCCAATTGCTTTACCAAGCTCCAGACTTACCTTCCATAGACACGATGGTGTCACTTCTTTGTAAAAAAATCTCTGATGCTATCACTCAACCATTTGTCCTTTAGTCCTTCTCATAGCCTGATCCACTCTACCCAACCAACTTATCCCATTGGCACCCACCAAGACATGGCCCCTGCTCCTCTGACTTGCCCTTTTATACACATTGTGGAAATATTTACAAGAATCCTGGCAAGTTGATAATCCCAATTTTGTGACACCATTGAGTTCAACTGCTCTGAATATTAAGTGTCTGCCATGGGCCTGGGTCTGTGTGTTCTCTGGAAAGAAGACCTAGTTGAGACTAGGAAGATATTCAGATAAAACAATTAATGATGGAGCTAACAGGTGGTGTGGTGGTTAAGGAGCTGAGTCCCCACATACCAGACTCCAGTTTGAATCCTGTATCTAGTGGCTTGAAAATCATGCTTGACATGTGTGCCCAAAATCCCAGGAAGAGAATGGAGGGGAAGGGATCATGGTGGATTACCACTGATAATCCAAGGAAGCCCATACCAAGTAGCAAATGAGGCTACAAACCTGCCTGAGGGGGAAAGGTTTTTCTGAGTCCACCAAAGTGTTCTACAAGCCCCTTTCTGTATCACAGATACATATGCCTCATATTCCCTAAACAACTTTAATCCTGCCAAGTCCCTTCATACATTCAGTGAGTATGTACTGAGCACCTGCCTTGTTCCAGACACCACACAGAGTCCTGGGTATGCACAGGGAAGTGCAGCAGAATCCCCACTTTTAAGGAGCTTTAAAGGGATGGGTTCTTATCCTTAGAACAATGGGAGGCTATTGAAAAGTTTTGAGGAGAGGAGCAATAAGGTTATGTTATATTTAAAAAGATCACTTTGGCTGGGATGCTATATAAAACATCATGTCTTTATCTCTGATGCCTTTTATAACACAGGACCATGTCATTCAGTCAGATCATTTTGGTAGCAGTAAGAAGGATATTTGAGGGAGCTGAAACTGGAAGCAAAATGAGCAGTTGGGAGAACATTGAAATAAAACAGTGATATTAGTGATAGAGGAGAAGATTTAAGGATACATTTTTTACATATTTTACACATTCATTTACATCATGTGTGCTTGTTTGTAAAATATGGGATCTTCAAAAGTTGTTGAAAATGCATATTAAGGGGACCAGTAGATGGCATAATGGTTACATTTCTGGACTCTCACATAGTCAGTCATGGTTTGAGCCCCAGACCTGGTGGCTTAAAACTCACACCAGGTGCCTGTGTGAACGTACCCAAAATTCCAAGAAGAGAATGAATGAAAAGGGATTGCAGGGTGTGTGTGTGTGTGTGATTTCTTGCTTTCTGTCTCTCTGGCAAGCACATGCACCCTATAGCAAAAATCTCTCTTAAAAAAATACATATTAAGAAAAGAACAGACCTAGCCACGTAGCCTAGTGGCTAGGGGAGCAGGATCCCACATGGCTGACAACAGTACAAGTTCTGGCCCCAGTGCCTTGAATGAAAAATACGCAAGGCACCATGTGCATTCATGCTCCAAATCCTGACAGGTTAGAGAAATATAGAAGGAATCACGGTGTGACCACACCCCAGGAGGGGATGCATTATCCCTTTCCTTCTTTCTCATTCTCTCTCTTTCTCTCTCAGATGAGCACACACACTCTCTGGCAATTAAAACAAAATTTTAATTTAAAAAGAAAATACTATGCAAGAATTTCAATTTTTTGTTTGTTTGTTTGCTAGAAGGCGTGTATACTTGCTGTGGAGACAAAGAGAGTGAAAGTGAGAAAGCGCCCCTGCCCACACCACAATCTCTGCTCCATTTCTTCTTTTGGGATTTTGGGCACACACATAGATACACTCGGCATGTTTTTGAAGCATGCCTTAACTACCATGGCACCTGCTGGCCTGGTTTCGTATTTTTTATACCAAATAACTTGAATTGTTTAAAGTTTACTTACTTTTTCCACTAGTGAGAGAGAGAAAAAGAGATAGCAGGACACTCCCAACAAGATTCTCATGTCATGATCCACTCCCAGTTTCAGCTCTTTGGATCGCCATGGGATGCTTACATGCTCTGCATGGGAGGTTGCCAACGTGAACCCAGGGCCTTCCCCATGTGGGTGCAGTGGCGTTATCACTGCACCACTGCACCGCCCTCTGGCCAAATTATACTTGACTCCTTTTTGCAGCATTTGTGTGGAACTTTATGTAGTACTCCTGTACACACACACATTCATACATGCATGTCTAATTGTTAAGACTCAGTGATTGTGGGGTGATTGTGTATCATTGCAAGACTTCACACCAGAGATGAGAAACTAAAAACTAAGTAGTGGAAAAAACTAGCAGAGGAATTAGAACCATGGTGTGAAAGAGAGGCAAGAGTGTAAAACGACTCTGAAAATTTGGGTTTGAGTATTTGGGTGGATGATGTCAACCCCTAAAATAGAGAACAATATTTAATTTTGAAAGAACATTTTTCTTTCCC